TGACTTTCCAAAATTGATTTGCTTCATTCTTCCAATCTGAAGATGGACAGTGGAGTCTTTAGAAGGAACGTCTAACTAAGATCTGATTGGCATCTGGCTGAGAACATCAAATTACAGTTGTATGTTTGGGGTATCATCTCATAAGACTAAATATATAGAGGGAATAAATCCAATTAATGGTTAGACATTGAGATAGTGTGTCAGTGTATCATACTCTAGCTGCTATGGTTTGGATTATGATTTGTCTCCCAAAGGTTCATGCGTGATGCAGTTTGAAAGGTGAGTCTTAGTGGGTGGTGACTAAGTCAGAGTGTAGATGAAGCTAGGGAGTAGTGAATGAATCATGGAGGCAATACTTAAGATTTGATTAATGATGTCTTGAGAGACCCAGTGACTTCTAACTTTCCCAAGAAGGTGATAGATCTTGCAAGAGCAGGTTGCTATGAAAGAGAATCTGCCTGGGACCAGCAGTTAGCGTAATGGCTATGTCGCTGGACTCCCATGTAGTCTACTGCGGTTCGTGTCCCAGACCCGGTGGCTTAAAACTCACGCCGGGCACGTGTGCATGTGTGCCCAAGATCCCGAGAGAAGAACGGAGGAGAAGGGATTGCGGTATGGTCATCCCCCCTGGGGGGGGGGTGATTTCTCACTTTCTGTCTCTCTGTCTCTCTCTCTCTCTGTCTGGCAAGTGCACGTGCCCTATAGCTCCTTCTCTCTCACAGTGTAGGCCCACCATCCTCTTTGCTTCTGTTGGTTGTTCTCAAGCCACTGGAACCATATGTCAACAAACCTCTATTTTTTGTAAATCACCCAGTCTCAGAAGTTTCTGTTAGCAATAGAAGAGTGGACTAAGATAGAAATTGGTGTAGTCAAGCAAGTTTACATTGCTACAGAGATCTAAAAATGTGGACAAGGAAGAGAAGACTAGGGAAAGCCTGGATTCTCCTGGAGGCTCAGAAGAAGAACAGTTTAGAAATGAACTGAAACAGTTCAGAGACTTGTTAAATGGTGACCAGAATACTAATAGAAATATAGACAGTAAAGGTTGTTCTGAGGAGGTTTCAGAGGAAAATGAGGAATATCTTATTGTAAATTGGAAAAAAGCTCATCTGTGCTACACTATAGCAAAGAATTTGACTGCAAATTATTCATGTCCTAAGGCTCTTTGAATTTTGAATTTAAGAGTGATGAAGATCTGGCAAATGAAATATTTTAAGGCAAAATATAGAAGGGACTTCATGGTTACTGTTAACTGCATTGTTAGAATGAGAGAGTGAGATGATTTAAAGATAGATGTTATAATGAAAGGCAAACAGGGTGGAAGAGTTTGGAAAATTCACAGGATGACATATTATAAAGAACAAAAAAGGAGTATTCAGCAGATAAAAGTGCGGCCAAGAGAGTGACTGCTAAAGAGGTTAGTGCTGATAGAAGAGACCAAAATGCTAATAAACAATGGGAGGAATACTCTTGGGTATTTTAAAGATCTTCAGGGCTGCCCCCTCCATTACAAGCTCAGAGACCTGTGAGTGCAAAATGGTTTTCAGGAAAGGGCCTGAAAAAACAGGTCCTGCTACCCTGTACAACCTGGAACTCCCTGCATCCCAGTGCAATGCTAGTTTCTCCAACCATGACTCAGTCAGTCCTGGATGTGGCTCAGGATGCCAGTCTGGAGAGCACAGGCTATAGGCTTTTGTAGCAGCAGCAATGCCATCTACACCCACATGGAGTTACACATGGTACTAATTCTGTAGGAGTACAGAACACAGGAGTTGTGAGGGCCTGGTATCATCCTGTGTGTTTTAAAGGATACATTGAAAGCCTGGGAGCTCAAGTAGAAACTTGCTACAGAAGTCATAAGAGAGGATGTCTAGTAGAGCAAGGTCTACTTTCTGCTGAAAGTAGGACTAGATCTATCACAGAGATTTCCTTTCAGAGGAAAGCCTAGCAGAGCCTCAAGGGTGAAACAGCCCCTGATACCCCAAAATTGTGGAGCTATCAGCATTCACGTCCAGCCTAAAAGCACTGAAGATATTTGACTCCAATGAGAGAAAGTTGAAGCATAGACTGAACCTGATAATGTCAGGAAGACAAGGCCACTTGATGTTTCAGGGGAACATCCCCTCAGTATGTCCAGGAGATGGCATACAGAATTCAAGGATTGAACTTCTGCCCACATGGGTTTCAGACTTGGTTGGGGCTTATTACTCCTTTACTCTTGTGAAGTGAAAACTTCTACCCTGCACCTACTCTGCTGTTGTGTTTTGAGAGCATGTAATTTGTTTTGTTTGACTTCATAGGCTCAAAAATAGAAGGAGGTCACCTTGCATCTCAGATGGAATTTTGGACTTTGGATTTTAAACTTTTGAGTTGGCACTAGAACAAATAAAGATGTTGGGGACTGCGGAATGAGAGAAGATTGTATTTTATATGTGAGAAAGACATGAACCCTTGGGATCAGGGCAGAATGTTAAGGTTTGAGTAACAGTTTGTTCCCCAGAGAGCCATGTTTTTAAATTTGTTCCCCAGAGTGATGGAATTTGGGAGATGAGGCCTGGTGGGAGGTGATCAGATCATGGAGGCCACACTCTCACAAATAGATTAATGATCTCTTGGGAGATTCAGTGAGTTCTAGCTTTAATGAGAAGTTCCTTCTTGTGAGAGTACGTTGTTATGAAAGAGCTGTCCACGGCACACTCTCTCTATATATGAACCCACTATACTCTTCGTTTCTGTTGTACATATTCCAGGCACCAGAATCGTGAGTCAATAAGCCTCTATTTCTTTGTGAATCACCCAATCTTGGGTATTTCTATTAGCAACGCAATAGTGAACTAAGACACCAGTTAATGTTAAAGCAATACAAATCTTAAATTGTACCAATACCATGTTTAAAGTCTCTCTTGCTAGTATAAGCATGAGAAAAAAAATATCCATATGATATTTTTATTGAGAATGTTAGCTACATGCTTGTATCTGGTAGAACACAAAGCTTTCTTTTACCTTCTCCTTTACGGAGAAGAGCTTATTTAGACCAAAACTAATGATACAATTAGGAGTGGAGTAACTTCCCATGTATGAGAAGCTTGGAAGTGTAGAGGAGAGAAAAATTCTTACCAGTAATTGGGACTCAATGGAGGATGATGGATTGTCTATGTGATAAAATCTGACAGTGTCAAACTCCTAGGTCAGCCCGAAAGATTGGACCCTGTAATCTCGAAGAATGAGCATCTATGTGGTTATCAGTACTGTGACTAATGATTCAGGTATTTAGATAGATGTTTTGGTGCTATGTTTGGACCCTTGCATGATCGCCAGGAAGTGGGAGAGCCCCAGTATTGGGGCTGGGATTGAATTTTACACCCAAGAGTTGGATTTAAGTTGTTTTAGAAGCAATGGTGATCTGAACTTGTTTGCATGGTTCATGCCTAAACCCCCCACCCCCACCCCACCCTGAAACGTTGTGAACTCACCCCATCAGTTATCATCTGTCTCTTCTCTCATACCTGTGCTCCACTTCATTGCTGGCTTTTTCCCCTTAATACTGAAATACATTCAGACCTCCCATATCTTAAAAAGGTTGTCCTTCCCTAGACCCCATGTATCTTCTAACTGTCCTTCACTCTCTCTCCTTTCTCAAGCATCTTCTTGAAAGAAGAGTCTACTTTGGTTGCATTCATTTCATAACTTCAAACTGACTCTGACTTCTGTACTCTGCGTCCCACAGTATCACTCTGGTGTCTTTTTCTGACTACAATTCACTTATTTTCTCTGAAGTACGAAGTTTCCTTTTGGGAACTGTTTCTTTGCCTTTGGAGACATTTTATTCTCTGTTTTCTCCCTTTGTTGTTCCTAGTCAATGTGACCCTTCTTGTCTGTGAATGTTGATCATCGTGAGGACTCTTCTTTGACCATCTTCTCTTTCCTCTATATGTATGCTCCAGAAAGAGTGACCAGAGCTGCTTCCTAGACTTCAGTTCCAATTGTGTGTACATTCTGATATGTGGAAAATCTTTTTAAGTCCCAATTTTCTGAGATCCAGATAAATAATTAAATTGCCCAATGGACCTCTCAACTTGACTTCTCAAACCCAATGTGTAAACAGACTCATCATTTCCATCTATTCTTTGATCTGCTTCTTCTAAATTTCGTATATTAAGAAGTGACCCATTCAGCTATTCATTAGCCAACTTCCAGACTTTGGGTTCATTCTTGACTTCTCACCTCATCTGCTAGCTCCCTTCATGAATAATTCAATCCTGGCCATTTTACTTTCTGATTTTTATATATACATTTACCTTCTGTTTCTTTTTTAGCAGTTCATAGGTCAGACCCTCCCTAATCTCTGCCTTCTTCTGCTCAGCCCCATCTGTACCATTATAAATATCCTAATTGGTCTCTGTGCCTCTTGTTCTCTTTAAATTCATTCTCTCCTCTTTAACTTGATCTTTCTGGATTGCAAACTTCAATGTGTTACAGTTTTTCTTAACATTTCCCCCTGGGTCCTATGTGACAGGAAGTGAGCTTATTGAGGTCAGCAAGTGGTGTAGTGGTTAAGGCATTGGACTCTCCCACATGGCAGACCGTGGTTTGAGTTCTGGACCTGGTGGCTTGAAAATCACACTGGCGCATGTGTGTGCCTACCCAAAATCTGAGGAAGAGGATGCAGGAGAGAGGATTCAGCATGAACACCCCCTTATGGGGAGGAGGAAAGGGAGTGATTTCTTCCTTTCCCTTTCTTTGTCACTCTCTGTCTCTCTGGTGAGTGCACATGCCCTATGACAAAAACAAACAAACAAACAAAAAGTGAGCATATCAATGACGATGCTTTGGCTATAGATAACAGAATATAAAACTAAGTGACTTAAACTAGAGGCTTACTTTTTCTCCATAACAAGAAGTCCAGAGGTGGGTGGTCCCAGGAGTGGTAAGCTTTGTGATGTCATCAAGGACTGCCATGCTCACAGTGCTAGTGATGCCTCCATTTACAGTCACCAGAGGCCACAACATGGTTACATCTTTACATGGCTGTTTTACAAGCAGACTGAAAGTGGTGGGCTCTCTTCATGGGTGTCTCCTCTTTTATCATCAAAGAAATATCTTAGCATTCCTCCAGCAAATGTATCCTTACATCTCATTGACCATGATCAGATCACATGGACATCTCTAACCATCAAAGCAGCTAGGGAAACCATTACCTGGCACTTTTAGCCACTATAATGAAAGAAGACCAGAAGAGAATACAGGTCAAGGAATGGTTGGTGAGTAGGCAACCAAAAGTAATTGTTACAACTTTCAACTCCTAAATGTTCTCTCATTTCCAGGCCTCTCTATCTGTGGATCCATCACTTGGAATGTAACTCCCCATACACACTTCATTTTGCTGGTGAACTCCTACTCGCTTTTTAAGCCATCGCTCAGGTACCCCTATATGTTGGATTAAATGTCTGTTCTGGACTCTAGATTGCATCATGTAATTTCCAAATTCATATTCCTCACACTAATCTTAAGCCTCTTTGGAAACAGAGACTGAGTCTTCTTCCCTATCATAAACCACAGCCCATTTTCTTCAGAAGAACTGAAATATTTGTAAATAATTCCATTGATGGATTTGAATATTAAGCTGCTCGCTCGCTCTCTTTTAAGCTCCGTGATTTACTTTTGTTAGCTATCATGGCCAGTAGAGGGCACCCTGGCCTTTGGCTAGAATGTGTTGGAGGTAGATTGATTTCTACAGCATTATTAAGCCTACTTTTAGAATTTTCCCCCGAAGAAGTACTAATTTTGAATTTCTTAATAAAAATAAAAGAAACAACACATTAGTTATTTAAAGCTAGATTGTGTTTGTATAATGCATCCATGGAATATATTGAGGTCATTTAGAGTTAACGGTATACCTTCTTTTGATTTTTTGAAGTTTATTGCTAAAATAATGCACACTTTAAATTCCCTTCCTGAGGCAGAGTGAGTGTAGTTGTTGAGTTCTTGAGAATAGCTGAAATGGTCTCAAGAGCATGGGCTGGTATCTTGAAAATATGCTAACTTTTTTGCCTGCTTGAAAGCCTATTCCATTTCCTCACCTTGTGGGAAATCACTTCAGCAAGGTTGGCCTAGGAGGTTATGAGGGCAAAGGTGTTATTTCAGGACTGGAGGGGGAATGAGCCTGGATTAAGAAATAAGATAGCATTTTATTTATTTATTTAGTCAGCTTTTTATGTATTTAATACATATTTGAGAGTCCCCTATGTGCTCAGCAACATTAAACAGATAAATATTATATTAAGCAGATTAAATCATTGACTTGATGGCACTTACACTGCAGGGAAGGAGACAAGCAAATAAATAAACAAATGTATAATAAAATATCAGAAAAATCCTATGGAGAAAAATATGGCATAGTAAAGAGTTGGGTGGGGGGAAAGGGTGAAAGAGTGCTATTTTAGGTTTGTGCCATAGGAGGAAAACAACTTCTAGACAGAAGATGCACCAAGTGTGAAGACCCCAAAGTAAGAGAAGGCTTGGCATATGGAAGAGATGGCAAAGAGGCCAAAGGAACTGGAGCAGGATAGTAAAGAGGGTGGGGAGATGACAGCTTCGAAATAGCAGGAGTGGATAAGAGAGGCTTGGTAGGTCTGGTAGGTGATGAGATTCTCAAAAGAAATGTGTGATGGGAAGCTGATAGAGGACTTTGAGGAGGTAAGGGACTTGATCAGATTATTTTTTTAAAAACAAAGTCACAGGGCCAGCCAGTGGTGTGGTGGTAAAGATGCCTAGATCCCATATAGCTGAGTGTGCGGTTCAATTCCCAAGCCGAGTAGATTAAAAAAACATGACCAGTATGTGTGTGTGCATGGCCAAAATTCTGAGAGGAGAATGGAGGAGAAGGGATTACAGCATGGCCATCTCCCCTGGAAGTGTTTTCTCACTTTCCCTTTCTCTCTTTCTCTCTCCCTTGTCACTCTCCAGTGAGCTCATGCACTCTATAACAAAAAATAAAATCAAACAAAAAAAAAAAAAAAGAAAAAGAGGAAGAAGGGGAAGAGGAGGAAGAGGAAGAACAGGAAGAAGAGGGAAAAAAGAAAAAGTTCACTGATTGGGGTAGGAAGTGGTCAGTAGTGGAAGCAGAGAGTCAGAGGGATCAGCCAGGTGATTGAAGGGTCTGGGCAGGAGGGCTGATGGTTGGGCCATAGTGGCAGGAGTGAGGTGGTGTATGGTGGTCAAATAAAGTTGTATTTCAGAGTCTAAAGATAGAGTTGCCAGATTTTGATGGATGGATTATAGGAATCATGCGGAATAAAGAGGGTTGTCTAATTCACAGTCTAATTTTTTTTCCCTTTCTTCTCTGTGGATGCAGTTTAAATAGAGGCCAAACTAACTGTCCATCTTAAACTTGATTGTAACTCTATACCCAAGCCTGATTCCCAAAACAACTGTTGTTTATGCTGCTAACAGTGAGAATCTCTGATTTTCAAAAGCAGGACTGCAGAATGGAGGATTCCTTCCCTGCTCAGTGATTGGCAGCCTCTATTAGTCAGGTTCGGATCATCTGTGGAATGTGCCACAAGCGCCTGGTCTAGCCCATACCAATAGTGGCCTCAGCTCTTTCATCCGGAATGGCTGCATTTCATTTTGTTCACTGAAGCGTCAACATTTTAACATTTATTCCTATAGTCCAAGAGGGACATTTTCTAAGCCATCTGAGGAAGTGCAATAATATCTGTGTGGCATTTGCCATTATTTCAAAATAGGCTGGCAAAACCCTTTGGTCAGGCTGATGATATACCTGTGGGTCATGTGCTGTCACTCAGGGAGCTGCCACCGGGTGGTGCCGGCAAAGTCTTAACTGGCTAGCCTCCACAGGCTTGGGAACAGAGCTAGTTGGAACAAGGCACAAAATCTAGTCACATCTCTTATTAAAAAGAACTTACAGCTTTTATAATTAAAAATTATATACAATAATTTGGAAAGAATGTTCGCAGAGTAATTCATAATGTAAAACCCACCTTTTCTTTGTTTCCTGAGTCTTCTCACCTTCTCTGCTGGGCAGTGCTCTGTCCCTCTCCACCATTTCTCCCCCAGTTCCACAGGAGCCTCCTACTTGCAGTCAGTCCCTGCCTGTCCCCTCTGTCCTACCCAGTCCTACTATCTATCTATCTATCTATCTATCTATCTATCTATCTACTTGTTTTTACCCACAGCGATTTTTTTAAATCATAGATTTGATCACATTGCTCTCCTCCTCAAAAATGTTACCTGCATTGCCTGCAGAATAAAGCCTCAACTTGAAGGTCTTTCACCATTACTTTTCCATCTTTTCCACCCTAACTTTTCAACCGGATATTCTGTTGACACTGAACCCATCTGAGATTCCTGTAGTGAAATGTAAATTCAAGCTTCTGCTTTTCTCTGTGCTGTTGACTGGGACACTCTTTTTCACCTCCTTGGAAAACTCCCTCCTGTCCTCAGTGCTTAGCTCAGCAAGTCCTCTGTGAGATCTTAACCACCCTCCACATGAGCTCTGGTCTGTGCTGCTGGAGCAATTTTTTCAACCCAGGTGCTCTGTGACCGCTGGGAGCTAATGGCCAAAGTCCTTATTTAAGGGACAGAGAAACAGAAAGCAAGAAATCACTCCCTACAGGGATGGCCACGACGCAATCCCTTCTTCTCCGTTCGGAATCCTGGACATGAACCTACACGTGCTTGGCTGAGTTTAAGCCACTAGGTCCAGGACTCGAATCATGGTCTACTACATGGAAGTCCAGCAATATAGCCATTATGCCAACTGCTGGTCCCAAGTCCTTTTTTTCATAAGATACTACTTGAGGGTCAAGTTTTGTTTTCATTCTGCAACATTTTGGGGCTTAGTAATGTGGCAGAGGCATGATTTATACTTATGAGTTGCCAATGGAATCAAGATGGAATGATTGTCTTTGACTTTGTTGGTTTTCAAGCACTTTCTAATGACTGTAAGAATTCCTTTAAGATTCTATAAGAGCTCCTATAAGAATTCTGAGAAGACTTTTAAAATGCCCCTTTTCACTAGGATTGGGCTTAGGAATACTTCCCTTTGTAAACCATGAGCTATGCATCAATTTACCATAGAGGGTACACCAAATGACTCCTCTCTTCTATCAAGAGTATTTCTGGCTTTCTGGCATTAATTGTAGTTCTAACATGTTTTGAATAATAAGATGAACTGTAATTAAATTACCTAATGTGTTGTAAAGTTCTATTCACATGTGTGCTGAATAAAGGGTTCAGTTATTGTCTCCCTTTCCCTTTCTCTCTTGTGTAATTTAAAATGCTTTAGGAGTTCTGGCATAAAAATAGAGAGCACGTGAAATGTCTTCCTCTCACTCTAAAAGTTTCAAGCTTTACTAGGACTTTTTATGTACTCTGTTGGAATTAAGAATGTTACAAATACAGGGAATTGTGTGGATTCAGCTTCTTTTTCATGCTGCTTTGGATGCAGAGGCCAGAACATCTGCAGACACCTGCTAGGTTTCTGTATCTGCAAGGATAAGAGGCTTATCTAAACACTATGGGAGTTCTGTGGTGTGAAGGAATAATGAAAGAAAGGGGCGATGGAACCAGCAGATGGCATAATGGTTACATCACTTGACTCCCATGTAGTTGACCATGATTCACATCCCAGACCTGGTGGCTTAAAACTCATGCAAGGTGCATGTGTGTACATGCCCCAAATCCCAAGAGGGGACTAGAGAAGGGATTGTGGCATGACCATCCCCTCTGGGGGGGATGGAAAAAAAAGGACAAAGGGGGGAGAAGATAATTAGATGATATATTGATTAATAGGTATATAGTTACCTTGATTAAAAAGTCTAACCAATGTAAGGAGACCAAAATTTATTTCTGCCTCTGGGCTGAGTGCTTTGAGTAGGCAGAGATGTCCTACTGAAAACCAAAGTTCTGAGTAACTTGGAGATAAGGTGTCCCTGTGGATGGGCTTTGGAGAATCCCCAAGTGGGACCTCTGTTGGCCAGTAACCTTCACTCTTATTTCTAGGTAGTTATAAATTTGTTGAGAAGTTATTCTGATTCCAAAATGACAAGAACGTTTTATCATGCTGTAGTTATTTTAGCATGTGCTAGGGTGGAATTGTTTTGGTCCACAGCTGGTTTTTAGTGCTTTACAATTACCCTACTATGCTAAATTGCCTTAAAAGTAATTAGATTTAAATGATTTAATTATGGTGATTAAGGTTCCTCTGAGGTTTGCAAGTCTGTAACATCTAAGCTTC